AACTTAAGGTCAATCCAGGTACAAATATCCTCATAGGGGGATAATGGCTGAAGGCCTCCAACATGGGAATAGAGTGAGAGATCTTGGCGCAGCCTCATCATTGCCATCCAAATTTGACTCAACTGAATCAACCTGTGGCAAAACATCCTGTGATACCCTTTCAGAAGTCACCCAAGGTAGTGGGTATCATTCTTATCATTGCCAAGCACATTGATTCAAGAAGAGCCGGATGTGGAGGTGGTAGAAAACGTATATCCTCAGGAAGTTTAGTGAGGATGTATGCCTTTTAGAATCCATAAATTAGCAAGAAACAAAGAAATAATTCCTAATTTTAAACATTTGAAGAACTTTGTATATCAACAGATGCAAACAGCACAGGTCGTCTCAAATCAGTCTGGGCATAGTTGACATAAATACTATATTCTGAAACATAAGGCGCTAAACTGCCATGGGAAACCATCTTGGATATTAAGATACTAGTAAGCTAATGGGACAAAATCTGGAAATTAACGCTTATTAAAGCGACTTCAGCAATTATGCACAAATAAGGTGGCTGAGAGGTGGCACCAAACTCCAACCCATTTGCAAGAGTTGTGCCTTTCAAATCCTCTGAACCGCTGAAGTGTGTGTGGGATCCATCACATGTAGCTTGAATGCCCAGAAGCCTCCAGATTATGGACCAATGTCCTAGGAATTATATTAAAAAAGCACAGGACAAAAATCTACAGATAAGGGGTAATATTTTGCTTTCATTGATATTTGCAGGGTTTAATTCCTCTGGTCTCCACAAGAATCTAATTGCATCGCTGCTAGCAATAAGAACACACAGTATCAATGACTAAAGTCCTATGTTTTGAAATTTTGGAGGCATGTTCTTTAGCTCTCTTTACAGCTGTTGCACTTAGTCTAAGAATGTGTAACAACAGTACACCAGTCACTGTAATATATGGTCTCTTCTTGCTAGCTAGAAATGGAATAATGTATTTTTGATTTGTTTTAATAAAATAATTAATTTTAAAAAGATATGCAGAGTGGCACAATGCAACAATGACTTGAAACAACTTCCTAGGACAGTGAAAGAAGAAAATGCAAAGGCAAGCTGCAGTTGAACACTAAGATAAAAAAATGACTAGAAAAACTACACAATTTTAATGTTGACATGAAGAAAATGAAACTGTTACTGATTTTTTATACCTTGGTTTAATCATCAATTCAAATGGAGACTACAGCTAAGAAATCAGAAGACTGAGACTTGGAAGGGCAGCAATAAAGGATTAGAAAATATTAAATGTAAAGACATACTACTAAAGGTCAAGGCTAAGATCATCCATGCTATTGTATTACCAATTACAACGTATGGATGTGAAAGCTGGACACTGGAAAAAGTGGACAGAAAAAAGTGTGGGTTCTAGAATGAATCAAGCTTGCACTATTTCTGGAAGCAAAAATGACAAAACTGGGGCTGTCATACTTTGGGCATATCATGAGAAGACAAGATTTGCTAGAAAAGACAATAATGCTAGGTAGAGTTGAAGGCAGCAAGAAAAGAGGAAGGTCATACAGGAGATGGACTGACTCCCTAAAAGAAGCCACAGCCTTGAGTCTACAAGAGCTGAACAGGGTAACTGAGGACAAGACATTTTGGAGGTCACTCATACAGAGGATCACCATTAACTCAGAGGTGACTTGACAGCATGTAATAACAAAAAAGGAGGAGCAAGAGAAAAAGTGAAACATAACAAAAGGACTTTTCCTAAAGCATAACTAGGGAAAGAATTGGGGACAGAGCATGGGGTTTATACTTTAAACAAACAACTTTGAACCAGGTGTGTTTGGTGGGGACATGGGAGAGGGTCTTCTCTGTCGCTGCTCCCAGACTCTGGAACTCCCTCCCATGGGAAGCTAGGCTGGCCCCATTTTCGGTGTCCTTCTGCCGACAGGCAAAACCTTTCTCGGCAGGCAGGCCTTTCCTTAATGATGGTGGTCTGAGAGGGGTTTTAAATGGACTGTTGCGCTCTGTTGTTTTAAATGTGTTTTAATATAGATCTTGAGTACTATTTTAATATAATATTTGTTTAATTGTTTTTAAAGTTTAATATTGGTATACTTACTGTTTTTAGCTTTTAAATACTGTTTTAATGATGTAAGCCACCTTAGGACCTTTTGGGGAGAAAGGCGGGATAGAAATATTTTAAATAAATAAATAAAATAAACCACATAATCCTGCCTTTCCCATGTAACTTTAGGAGGTGATGCTGTAGAAGGTATGAGAACTCTTTTGCCATAGAAAAGAGAATGGTGAAGCCACTTTTGAAATAACAAAAAGCTTTTGAAGTACCCACTAACAAATGTGCCACCAGGATTAAATGGTGATAATTCACATGCTCTTCTCTTTAAATGCCATTGTTTCAAAATGATGATTAAATTAATGACAGAGTGGCTGAAATTCTGGTCAATAACGCAAGCTGATGATGCCACCAGTAGGGAAGGGTTTTCGGTAATTAAAAACTTCATACTTCTGTCCTGTGGCTTTTTTGACTCCTGTATAATCCCTTTCATTCTTTGCATGCCACAGGAGCTGCAGGATGGAAGAAGGAAGCCTTTAATTAACAAAAAATCATTGCTGCAAGATAACATTACCAGCCAGGGCAAATTTTTAATAATTCAAGACTTCCTTCTTCTGTCCCACAGATTCCACGTGAGACATGATAGGAATTAGAAAAGCCACAGAAGGAGAAAGCTTTCAATTATGAAAAACTGCCCCCTGCTGTTCTTGGTTTGCTCATGTGAAGGGACAAATCTGAAGAACGGCGACCTGTCAGTCTATGAAAGCTCTCCATAAGTTAGTTCTACCACCTACAAGGCAGAAAGAAGGCTCCAGGCTTCCTCCAGGAGGAGCACCTCCCTTTAGGAACACTAGCTGAGTCTTCCAATGAAACCAGTATCTCTAGAAGCCACAAGGTTGTGCAATTTGTTCAAAGATCCAGGATCTACACAACTCTCAATCCAGGGAGACAGCGATCCACCTTCCACAAAGGTAAAGGACAAGTGGGATCAGCTGAGGGGCCCCCTAGCTGGCTTCCTTCACTCAACTAGAATGAAAATTCAAAATTTCTGTTTCTCTGGTCAAGAGGGAGGAAAGCCAGCTAGCCTCAGGATGAACAAAGTGTTAAATGGACCTAGCCAGTTCTCCTTCCTCTCATTGCTATGACCTCAGAACTCTCTACGGAAAATGCCTATGAAAGACATCCTCTAATGAGGAACAAGTGTTTGATTATCTGGATCTATGACAAGATGGCTGCTTGGCATAAGTCCTCCAAAGCAGCTGTTTCCCAGAAAGCACTTAAGGGAGAAAGGCTCCTAAAAGAGTGCACTGCAATTATTTCCAGCACTGCAGCACTTACGTGGGGGAGGTTAATAAATTCCCTGAGCCATTTGATCAGGGAAGATGTGGCCTAGGGCCAAAATGTTGTATGACACAAACAGGGCACCATGCTCTCTGTGTAGTTCTGTCATGTCTCAACAGAACTTGGTTATCAAATGGAGACCAAGGCAATGTCACTTCTTCTAAGGGTTGGGGACTTGGGCAGAAGGAGGGAATGACGTGTTCATGATTTCTGCAGAATGGAGTGTTCGCCCTGGGAATCAATGCTGAGTCTGGTGTAACAATCACCTTGTCTCTGGGGAAGACGCACAGCTACTCTCTACTGAGAGAGTCCTCTTAACTCTTGACACCTTTCAGAAAATCAACTTGAGATTTAAGATGTTGAGGGTGGCTACACCAAGGGTTTGAAGCGGGACTTCGTGAAGGTCCAAAGGACGACATTAAAACTCCACGCAAGGAACTTACTGTTCAGGTGTGTGTGAGTTCAGGACATGGCTCTGAAACAGCTGATAGGATGGGACTCTGCAAGTTTAATTCTGTTATGATGGAAGCTACTGCTGACACATGACACCTTTGAGTGTGCATGACAAGGCCTGAGTTGAGGCTCTCCTGGTGGGAAGGAGGCTGAGGAGCCAAACAGACAGACGGCAGGTGTGCTCCTCTGCTGCTTTCGTCTTTCCTACTTTTTCATCTTGTTTTGGAGTGCTAAACTCTGAAACTGTTGTCCAGAGGAGGCCCCTCCTTCTCCAGGATGATGCATGGGGCCTGCCCCTGTTCCAAGAGGTGTGGCCAACCCTCAGATTAGATTTCCTCTTCTGCTCTCAAGCAGAGAACCTCGGTTTCCCAGTGTTTAGGCTTTTGTGGAGAGCCTTCAGAGATTGACAGGTCTCATTTGTTCAAATCTATTGATTTGCATGAGCAGAGCAAGGGCAGAGTGGCAAAGGCCAGCTTGCTCTAACTCACAAAGTCATTGAACATTTGAAAATAGCTCAGCATGTTAAGAAAAGGAAGTTGTCAGTAGGCTGGCTCTATGCACAGGCTCTATGCACACTGCTAAAGCTGCTGAGTATTAGCTGAATTCCAGTGGGGTCAGAAAATACCACAGAAAGCAATGCAAGTTTTTCTTTTTGAAATGTATCATGGTGCACGAGGCTTAACCTGCATATGGGCTGATTTCCAGGGATGAAGGACTCTTCTCAAAACTTTTTTTTAAACCTCTCACAGTCACAACACTCATTATTCAGCATTTTAGTCAACACTTTTGAAATGTGTGGTGCTACACTTCTTTGGAACCATAAAAAGTTATTTGGGGAAATTATTGCTAACAGTACCCAGGGAAGACCAAAGAATGTCCTAAGACTGTTATATAAAAAACTGAATTGCAGCAGTGATTTCTTCTTTGTCATTCAACTTGATATTTTTCATTAACTATGAGCCTAGCAGTCCAAATAAATATAACTCTTTCACTTAGCTCAAACATAGTAGAACTATGCTTGCAGTAATATGCTTATTGTCTGACACTAAAGTACAATGGCTTTATCTCACAGAAATTGCTTCTTCAAAATTTCTTCCTACAGATCTGAAAAAAGAGTCATAGGAGCTCACTGTAACACACCTGAAAAATGGGTTTTTCAGATCAAGGAGGTTGCTGGATTTGGAGCCTGTCTGATCCACTTGAGCAACAATACTGATGTCATAACTCTGCCTGAAAAAAAAAAGAAATAAAGAGATAGATATACCAGTAAGGAGCAATCAGTTCTTTCTGACCACTTAGGTGGGCCATTTCTACCCCTTGGAGACTACAAGTGAACAGAGGAATGAGAGAAAACAGATGATTGTCTACAACCACTTTGTTATGGCTTCAGACCTAGCTATGCAACTGAAACAGCTTTGGTCACCTTGGTGGATGACCTGCACCCAGAACTGGATGGGGGAGTGTGTTGCTGATGATTCTGGATATCTCAGCAGGACTTGATACCAACCATAGTATTCTTCTGGGTCACTGCACTGTGAAGGGACTTGGAGGTCCTGACTTGCAGTGCTGCCAGTCCTTATTAGAGAGATAAATCACTGAATAATTGAGTTTGATGGGACCTAAAAGGCCACTGAGTCCCACTCCCTGTTCAATGCAGGAATCCAAATCAAAGCATATCTGACAGATGGTTGTCCAATTTTTTCCTGAATGCCTCCAGAGTTGGAGTGTTCACCATCTCCCAAGGTAATTGATTCCATTGTCATACTGCTCTTAACAGTTAAGATTTCCCCCCCTGATATTCCGTCTAAATCTTGCTTCCTATAGCTTGAATCCATTATTACATATACTGTACTCTGCGATAATAAGGAACAGATCCTGCCCCTCTTCTGTATGACTACATTTCAAATATTTGAAAAGTGCTATAACATCTCCCCTGAAGGCTAACCATAATGGACTATGGGTTCTCTTCAGCCAGTTCCTTCAATATCCTTGAATCGAATTCATTCAGCCCCAGGGATGTGAATTTATTTAAAGTAGTAAGGTAGTCCTTAACCATTTGTTTATCATTCTCAAGCTGCAATCCTATCCCACCCCTTTGCACCTCACATTTGCCTGGGAGACCATAGGCTGTCTTTTGGGAAAAGACTGAGCTAAAGTAGGAATTAAGCAATTCTGCCTTTTCTTTGTTGTCTATTATCATTTTCCATCCTCACTGACTAGTTGAGCCACTGTTTTTTTCTGTCTTTTGCTACAAATGTACCTGAAGAATGCCTTTTTTGTTGCTTGTAGCATATCTTGCTAATGTCAACTCATTCTCATTGTTTGCCTTTCTAACTTGTCTCTACTTTCCTTGTAGCCCAGCCTTCTTTCCACTTCCTACGTGTGCCTTTTTAGTTTTCAGGTCCTCCCTGCAGCATAGATGTGTGGCTACATTCTGCTTTTCTTTCTTCTGAAATCAAGAACTCAAGAACATGGTCACTTTACACCAGACTTCCTCTTGCTGCTGCTCTTCCTACCAAGTCACCTCTACTGATTAGGATAAATCCAGGATAGTTACTCCTCTAGTTTCTTTTTTGCAGGAAAGAAATATCAGCCACACAAGCCAAGAATTTCTTAGAAGGTCCATATTTGGCAGAATTTGTCTCCCAACAAATACCAGGAAAATTGAAGTCTCCCATTACTACTACATTTTTTCCTTGAAACTCTTGCATTTGTTTTTCAAAAGTTTCATCTACAACTTCTTTTTGATTGGGTGGTATACTCCAACTACCATGTTCCTCTTGTTTTTTGCCTACCAAGTCACCTCTACTGATTAGGATAAATCCAGGATAGTTACTCCTCTAGTTTCTTTTTTGCAGGAAAGAAATATCAGCCACACAAGCCAAGAATTTCTTAGAAGGTCCATATTTGGCAGAATTTGTCTCCCAACAGATACCAGGAAAATCGAAGTCTCCCATTACTACTGCATTGTTTCCTTGAAACTCTTGCAATTTGTTTTTCAAAAGTTTCATCTACAACTTCTTTTTGATTGGGTGGTATACTCCAACTACCATGTTCCTCTTGTTTTTTGCCTGTTATATTAATCCAGATGCTCTCAATGAGAGAACCATGCAAGAATATGTATTTTTCTATAAAAGAATAAGTGTTTTTGACATGTAGTGCTACTCCACCTCCCTTTCTGTTCATTCTGGGTTTTTCTGAAAAATTTGTATCCTTCAATTGCTGTATTCCAGTCATAGGAATCATCCCACTAGGTTTCAGTTTTCCCAATCAAATATATTTACCCTCTTGAATTAGGATTTCCAGTTTTTCTTCTTTGTTTCCTATACTCCTGGCATTCACGTATAAATACTAAGACTGTGTGTTTTGCAATCTGCTTTACTTCATTTTTGAAGACTATTAATGGGCCCCATTAGACGTGCTCAGACTGTTCCTCTTTTTGCCCATAAGCCTTCATCTATCTTTACCTCTGAGCTTGTGTCTTCTTCCCCCTTCCAATTCAGTTTAAAGCCCTCCTGATGCAGTTCTTCATGCTGTGGCGAAACATATTCTTTCCAGCTCATATAAGGTGCAGACTATCCCTTGTCAGAAGTCCATCTTCCCAAAAGCTCAGCCTATGGCCCCAAAATCCAAACCCCTCATATCAGTATCACCTTTGTGGCCAGTCATTCACCCAAAGGATTTTCTCCCCCACCCCCCCAGTCCTCTTCTGAGTACTGGTAAGAGGGACGAGAAGATTATCTGGGCCCGAAAGCAGATAATCCTTGAGTTTTCTTCCCAGAACTTCAAAGTCTGATGTGATTTCTTCATAGCTCTTCTCGGCTGTGTCATTTGTTCCCACGTGGATGAGAAGAAAGGGACGTGTAATCTGTGGGTTTTATGAGTGATGACAGCCCTTCTGTCACATCCCTAATCTGTCCTCCAGGGTGAAAGCATACCTGGCAGGTCCATGGATCTTCTTGGCATATGCCAGTTCCAACCTCACACATTAGGAAGTCTCTTGTGACAACTATGGTTCTTCTTTTCACAGGGTGTGGTTTCAGTGACTGTGTTTTGCTGAGCTTCAGCCCTTCTCATGTCCTCCTGTGGGGTCTCCTTTTCATGCTGTCTGGCAGACTCCTCGTCAAAAATCTGAAAGTAGCTTTGTAGTTCCACTGGTGAAGAGTGTCTTCTCTCTCTTTTGCTCCTAACTTTTCCATGGTGCTTCCTGCACTATGTTAGTTCTCTCCTCAGCATTCTCCTCCTCCACTGCTTTGTCTTGCTGTTCTTCCACCTCCAGTCCCCCCACCCCCGGGGTGGCTGCTGCTGAAGAGTTCTGTCTATGTAATCTCCATCTTCTCTTATAGTCTTAAGTGTGGCCACTTCCTCCTCCAATTCTTTTACTTTTTCTTTCAAAAGTACTATCAGTTTGCACTTGCTGCAATGCCTGTCTTAAAGGCTGCTAACACGCGCACACGCAAGAGAGAAAAGTCACTTGCTTTTATTAGTCTAAATCTCTGCCCTCTCTGCCTTGGGTTTCCCCTTTTATTTTGACTCTTTCTCCAGTAGACCCTTCCTTACTGCCCCTTCCCTGTCCAAACGTCTGTTTGCTTGCTCCCTGGGGTCTGTCTCACTTTTATCCTTCTGCTGTGCTCTGTTAGTAGTCAGGAAACAGAGAGCACAGAAGGTGGTATTTGGGAGACTTCTGTTTAACATCCTAGCCTTTGGCATCCTTCAAGGTTCTGTCCCCCGTGCTATTTAAAGCAAAGCAATGCATGCTGCATATATACCATCCCGTAGTGCTTAAAGCTCTCTCTGAGAGATGTGCAACTCAATTATGCAGGCTCCACATTGCTCTTTCCATGTAGCTGAAACCATCCTCCCCACTTACCTCTTGTTGGCGATGAGCAGGCATGTCCCTGAGAGGGTGTCACCAGCCTTAGCAAAAAGTGGAGACTGAAAGAGACACCGAACCTGGTACCAGTGGGTAAGAGGCTCTGTGGGAGCGGTTGAAAGCCAAACGGTCATTCTAGCAGGGAGAGGAAAGCAACAAGATTATGTTCAGAAACGGGAAGAAATCTGGCTGCAGTAATTCACAGCCCAGCCCTCTGATGTGACTACGTCTCCCAGGTCTCAGCATACCTCTGACCCCAAATCCTGAGAATGCTAACTGTGGCTTGTTCATTCTCAAACACTCCTGTTTTTCTCTTTCAGGCTAATATAAGTGATACCACCCCTTATGAAAACTTAATTATGCTCTATTACAGAAGCGCCAGTGGGGCTTTCTTCGTTGAGCTTGGTTCTAATGGATATATCTGAGTACAATAATTCACAATTTTTTAGGATACCCTGATCCTTGTGTTTTTACAGGAATGGAAAGTTTCAAAAAGGAAAATGTGAATTCTGCTACTAATGATTACTGCTGCTGTTTTATGCATACACTATAAAATCTGAAGTAAACCACAAAATTAATTACAGAAAAAAGCTACCCTCGGAAACACCCCAGAAGAGCAAGGTTGTCTTAGCTGGCACATAAAGACTGCCAGAACGGAGGGAAGCAATATCCCAAAGGATTTTCAAAGCTGATATCTACAACAGGAGTCCATCAGATGCTCAGAACCTCATTTTAGGACAGCACTACCCAAGGGATCTGAGGTCAAAGAACACAGTGGTTTGAGAACAAGCAGAACTTTAATCGGGCTTGAAAACAATGCAACAAGAATTGAGGCTTCATCCAGCTGAATTTCTTTGCACCAAAAAGCATCCTCCAGCCAAGAACAATTCTGGTTTAAAGAAGAACGTCATAATTTCATTCCCTACCAGAATTATTTTTAAATTTCACTGCCATTGGGTCAGACAAAAAGTTTCACATTAATCTACAGAAAGATACAAGTCAAAAGAGAATGTGAAGTATGGAACATGAGTGACAATGATCTGCTTTAAAAAGTTCTGATTCGAGGGAAGCACAATATCACCATCACTTACATTGAACCAATAAAGGCAACATCGAACCAGAAAGCCAATCCATGGACTAGACCTGAATGAAGCATGTGGAACTTGAACGGGATTTCTATTCTGGAAAACAAAAGAAAATGTCTGCCACAGGAAGATGTATTCTCTTCTGCAGTACATGGTCCTCCCATTCAGCACACAGTATAGGCTACAGAGCTGCAAACTCGAAAAAGTCCCATCAAACAAGAGACAAACTACACCTCTGGGGATCTTCCTCTAAACTGTTTCTTATCAGCTTATGACCAGCATTTTAGAGTCCTTCCTCCCTGCCCAACTATCACTGAGATACAGTGGAACAGCTTGCTCCAGATGCATCCAGTCCAAGACAGGATGTCCTTCCTCCCTGCCCAACTATCACTGAGGACAGCTTGTTCAAGATGCATCCAGTCCAAGACAGGACCAAATATGTAGAACAATATTATTGCCAAACCATTAGAAATATATAAACATATCAGTCAGATGTTCTTATCTAATCATAGCTTAGAAGTTTCAGCTGAATTTCAGTTTTAACTAGACAAAGTGCCTCTAAGTTCCTCTAAGAACGAACCTAACTTACCCTTATGCGTAAATTTTGGTTCCATGAAACATTTTGTATTTTTTAACTTCTTTTCACAGGAAATGAAAAAGACCAACTTCAGCAATAAAGATTGTGCAAAGACACTGAGTTGTGAAAAACCCCAGATGCAAAAATGGCATCCGATTGTGCAAAGACACTGAGTTGTGAAAAAACCCAGATGCAAACTTAGTCTCTGTCTTAGTAAGACTATTACAAAAAATAAAAATGGCATCCTGAATGAACCTCACAGGTTCATACATTGGCTCATCTTCCTATGTTGTGTATATATTTTTTGTTTGCTAACTGGACAAAAAGGCCAAAGAAGAACTGAACACAAATCTTGATGCTTCCAATACTCTTGTAATGGTAATATTCAAAATACTGTGGGAGAACACTTCAGTCTCTCACAGCTGTCTGCCTCCATTCTCCAGGAATGCCATATGTGAACAAAAGAACTTTAAGGCAGACACCAAACTAAAAAAATGACTGAACAGGAATTTATCAAGGCATTCAACTCTATGTCCTGTGGCTTGAAAGGGAAAACTACTTTTCATCTCATATGAAATTGTCAGTGGATCATGCTCTATAAATGTTGTAATCATCTGCAATTATTACATTCCAACTACATTTCTTCCATTAACTGCAGGTGACATTCACCCACCCAGACATTTGTATGGTGACTCAGCAATTCTGGCAATACTCCATGCATCTGAAAACTGGACTGCAGACTATAGAAGACTATGCCCACCCCGAAACAAAAAAAGAACTGAACACAGGTTAGTTTTAAAGGGACAGAGATGTGGTGCTTCTCTCCCTTTGCTTAAAAACAATAGAAGTTACCTGTGCAAGTCCACTTCTTTGGCATCTAAGAAGTTCACTGTGTATTTAACAGATTTGGCCATAAGAATCCTAATATCAAAGGTGTCCTAGGAAAGAAAAGCACACCAATGAAAAAATACAGTGTGAGCCGGCACTACTGTATTTCTGCTCTCCAACAGTATGTGGGTGTGCATGCACAACTGGAGAAGGCAAGATCTTTTTCCCCTGCTCACAAGATAACTTAGTTGGAAGCAAAGATGGTGACCACTGTTGCCAGGAGAGCTTTCTTCCATACAAAACAATGGCATGAACCAAGGCAGTCCACCACCTCTGCTAATCTAGCTACTTTCTTTGTAGCACCAGGATCTTAAGGAACAAAGTTTCTATGGGGTTTGTTTGTTTTATGAGATCTGACCAAAGAAGGATTTGGTTTCAGTTGTTGAAGTTAAGATGCCATTGAACTGAGGAAAACATTGTAAATCACATGCTTTTGAAATTGATTTAATCTGTAGGGTAAGGCATGTCTAACAGGGAAACAGAATCAGTATCGTAATACATTTAGGCAAATTGCATGGTGCAACCACAATTCTGGTTTTAGCACCGTGAAGACACTGCAGAGTTGGAAAAGGTGAGGAAAGGGCAACCAAAATGATACACAAAATCCAACTATTCTCTCATGAGAAACAGTTACAATGGATTGGGCTCTTCCATTTGGAAAATGATTCAAATGTAGCATGATAGAATACTATACAATTATGTTCAGTGTGAAGGAACTGGAGAGGTTCTTTTCCCTCTCTCCCATAATATTAGAAACATGGGATCATTCAATTCAACCAAATGATCTGAGATTTCAGCCTTATCCTTGAGAGCTTGTGCACTTTAAATAGAGGATCAGATACATTCATCACCTTATCCTCTATTGATGTCTGCTAGCTGTGATGGTCACCTGGGGTCAGAGGCAGTGTAATACTGAGTTACAGTTCCTGGGATGATAAGAGTTCAAAAAATTTAATTCACTGAGGTGTTGCCCTTAAATTCAAAAGTTCTTTTAAAAGGTGCCTCAAAGACATGCATTAAAAGTGAAGAGTAAAGTTCCACCAGAGTTCATAATATAACAGAGGAACATGAAGTGGAGGATGCTACTGCACTTATTTCCAGCTTCCCATAGGCCTCAGATTGACCAAAGTGAGGGGGAAATTTTGGATTAAATAGACCTCTGATTCAGAACAGCTCCTGAATCAAACTGGGTCAAAAGTGAAATATATATTAAGCAGTCCACTAATTATTTAAAATAATGAACTATAACTTTAATCTATCAGCCACTAATCAGATATTGACTGATCCCCAAGGTTTTAAAAAGTAGGACAATCAGCAAAACATTTTCTAAAATATAAAGAATACACAAAATTCAACACTTTTACCAAGTAATAAAGCTAGGCCATATGCTGCAAGTCATATGGATTAGTTCAGAAGCTCAACTGAGCTGTGTGACTCAGTATGCAACTGATAATGTCTATAGTGATTTCTTAAATCAGACCAGTGTCTACTAAATAGAAAGGAAGATGTCTTTAAAGTAGCCAACAAATTACTAACACATCCATCTCACTGGTTCTTCCAGCAGTGGCACAAAGCAAGTTTCTAGCCCTTATGGGCTTGAAAATGTGCAGACACAAATTTGACAGTACATCTGTCTACCCACAGCTTTTATGGCTTTCAATTACATTTCACAACCTCTTCTCATTTCGCTTATCGCCATAAGGTACGATTTTAATTTCTATCAAAACACACAGCGGAGTCTATGGAAAAAGTTAAGACTTACCACAACAGGCTGCCTAAAATATTCATCTACCGCTGCCCCCCGAAGTGCTGACAAATCTACCCCATGAAAGGATGGCTGATACCTGCAAGACAAGGCACAGTGAGCTTATGACCTGACAAGGTAACCCAGCAGAGAAATCCAGGAAAAACTGGTATAGAATTTGATCAAGAATTTGACAACCTGGGTCCTTTTTAAGGAGAAAGGAAGGGGGGGTATTTTAAAATAAAATAAAAATTAATTAAGGAGATTATAGAGTAGTCTCAAAAACAACAAACAAAACCGAACAGTGACACTGGATGAGTCTACGTGGATTCCCTATCATTTTCTAAACTAGAGAAGACCTGAAAAATAATGTTGCTGCTAAAACCTAATAAAGACACAACCCCTTTGACTATGCAAAACAAAGTTGGAACTTAATATATGTTTGGGTCCAGGGATAGATCAAAGTATAGGGCAAAATGATTGATGTTTTTTTCCCCTTCAATGCTCTCTGGAAACTTGGGAAATTTGGGACTTAATGAGGTCTGAATCTCTGTCCTCAAAAGGGGGAGGGGGGATTTTTTTTCTTCTCTCCTTTTTTTCTCATTTCTTTTTCTTTTTTTAAATCTTCTTTGTATATTTGTTTGTAGTTGGTAGATTTATATGCTCAAATTAAATAAAAATGATATGATAAAAAAGACAGAACCTCTTTGACACAAATCAAGACTTGTATCTTTTCCATTTTGCTATGGAGATTACATAACTGGGAGAAGTGTGTCAAGTTCCTGGGAAGAGAAACTCACCAAAAATTAGCTTTCGTGAATTGTTCCATGTACAGCTGTTCATCTGTGAATGGTGCTAGATGGACGTCACCGATTGTTGGAAACATATTTCCTAAAACAGAAATGGATACAGAAATAGCATTTTTTTAAAAGATCTGTGAAAAGATAATGTCCTTTTAGAAAAGCACAAACAAAATTATTATCTATAAGGAGTAGCAGGCAAAATGGAAAATACACTGTGAGAAACAACCACAGTCAGAGGAATAAACACCTTCAGGGAGTTTTGGCAAGAAAAATGAGTGGAATACTGATCAGGTCAAAGATCAAAGTTCTTTCTCTTTGCATTTAAGTTCAACTGTCTGTCAAATACTGTATGTGCTTCCAGGGCAGAATGCTAAAGTGATTAAAGATCTGAACACAATGACCATGCAAGAGAAAATATCTTATTAAAGGACTTGAGAAAATATCTAGACTCTTCTTATTAGTACGAGATTTGGTTCCATTTTATTTTGGGAAATCTAGCTTTCTTTTAACTGCTATTCCTGTCCAGTTTAATTTTTTATCTTGCTGCCCTTAAAACATCCAAATTGATAAGTCCTGTTTGCTTTTTAACCTGTTAATCCGATCAAAAGAGCCATGAAATGGCTTTTCCAGTGATGGTGGCTATTTCCCATTGTAGACTGTTCTTCATTCTTCCCATTTTTTCCTTATTATAAGGTTTTCTGTATTTAACAGAAAATGCTTCAAGTGCGATTTTATAGTAGAATGTTACATTAAAATCAACATTGTCTTTTGGCTTACCCAAATTCCAGTGAATATTAAGTTTTCCACAAGTCTCACTGGTTCTCTGCCTGCTCATATGGCCAGCTGGGTTCAACCTGTCAGGAGCCTTGAAGAAACCTCCTCTGATGTTGCCACCCTTCCCACACATGCACAAGTAGAGATTACTTACCACTGGGCTTTAAATACTTCTTGGCATGCAGATAACTCTCCAGCATACGTTCATTGAAAAGCATATAACCCATTGGCTCAGAAATAATGATGTCCACCTGTTCTGGAAGTGATACCTCCTCTACTTTCCCAGGAATTACCACAATCCGGTCAGTGAGGTTGTTACTCTTGACTAAAACCTGACCAGGAAGAGGAAAAGGCAAGGAAAAGACCTGATGTATACAGATATTTCACTTTAATTCACTACTCAGATATCTACTGGTCAGAAAGAGTTTAAGTTAAGGTCCTTATGCCAAAAATGGTAGTATACTGAAAAGGAGACACTGTAGTTTCTTACTTCTAATAGCACTGGAGAAAATGACTTGAAGACAAAGTAGATGGTTTGGTAAGCCAATCAGCAAATGGCTAAGAAGTTCATTCTGAATTTAAACAAAAATTTGCTGAATCTAACAAGGCACACTGGCATCAGAAGTTTCACTTCATCTGCTGGATTTATAGTTGCCACACCATCTTTGAAATGTTACCGTTTCCCTGAAAATAAGCCCTACTATGATTTTTCAGGATGTTCGTAATGTAAGCCCTACCCCTAAATAAGCCTCAGTTAAGTGAAACCCCACCCTCCACCATTGTGCAGCAACCAGAAGATGATGATGATGTGACCGCATTTGAATAAATATAGATTGTACATGAAAAAAATAAAGCATCCCCTGAAAATAAGCCCTAATGTATTTTTGGAGCAAAAATTAATATAAGACCATGTCTTATTTTCAAGGAAACACGGTAGTACTAGAGTATCTGAAAGCTGTCATTGTGGTAAATGGAGTGCACCATCTAAGCCCCACTGCATCAATAACTGATTCAAGACAACTGCTACTTTACAAGTGTGTTTTTCACTTGGATACAGATATAGATATGGAGGATAGGCAGCTTAAGAATATAATGCACAAAGACAGGTTGGACTTATTTTCCATTCATTTATTTACTCATTTATTAATTAATTTATACTGATGAGGGGACTCAAGTTGGCTCACAGTGTAAAAAAACATAATAAATAATACATTAAAAAAAAAACCTAAATAGTACTTGAAATGGTCTGGATATTAAACACAAACCTATTCAGTTAAAAAAATAGCATTCAGGGGCTCAGTTATGTTTAAAAGCCTGCCTGAATATGTGAGACTTCAACTTTCCATGAAAGGATAAAAGGGAGGAGGTCAGCCTAACCTCTCGAGAGCATTCCATAATCACAAGCAGTCACAGTCCCCATCAGGTGTGCCTGAAGTGGCAATGAGACCACGAAGAGGGCCTCATCTGATGATCTTAAGTACCAAGAAGACTCATATGGGAACATAAAGCCCAAGGACTCCTTTCTGTTGTCCATCTATCAGGAGACAAAAATCTTTCTATTCAAAGCAACTGAATAGAAATGGCTTCTCTGCTGAAGGGATATTTAAATGGGGTGCAGGATAAAACTTCTACTTTTTCTGATGAGTTTTTTAATTGCTTTAATACAATAACAATGGTCAACTGTATTTTTAGTAGCATGATTTACTGCGTTTTAGCTCTGAATGCTTTGTAAATATATTGCTATGGAGCCCTATATACAGCAGGGCACAAATAAAATAAACAGAATCATAGAATCATGAAGATGGAAGGGTTCTATAAAGCCCTTGAGTCCAACCCCCTGTCCCTATGCAGGAAAAGAAATCAAAGGATATCTGATAGGTGCTTGGGTTAAATTTCTCTAGAATGTCTCCTGTGTTGGAGCACTCATCAACTCCCGAGGTAACTGATTCCACTGCCACCCTGCTCTAACAGTTTCTCCTGATATTCAATCAAAATCTGATTTCCTGTAACTTGAGCACATTGTTTCGTGTTCTGCACTCTGGGATCATCAAGAAAAGATCCTGCCCCTCCTCTGCATAACAGCCTTTCAATGATTTGAAAAGTACCATTGTATCTCCCCTCAGTTTTCTTTTCTCAGGGCTAAACATGGGCAGTTCTTTCACCTTTTCTCATAGGGCTTGGCCAAAAGGGAGCTTCTAGAATGACCTCATGTCCCTCTGCTTTTATTCTCCAGAGGCCCTTCCTGAGAAGAGCTATGGAGTATGTATGTGGGAGATGTATAAAGAAGCCCTTCTGATTACTGGGCTAGGAGGGCATCCATCCCTATTGCTCCTGCTGTCAGGAACCAGGAGAAATACTTCCTCACCATGTGATCCCCCTGGGATACCAACAGGTCTACCACCAGTTTGCCTAGATGTTGGGTAATCCAGCTGAACACCTGAGATAACAGACTTCATTCTGTTTGGTCCATGTCCTACGGACTCAGCCAATCTGCTTGGGTGTTCTGGATCCCCTTGATGTCCTGTGCCTCTAGTGAGAGGAGATTGGACTCTTCCCATTCCAGAAGGGAGGTCACTTTCTTCATCATGGCTTAAGATTTTGAACCACCTTGATGGTTCACAAAGGTTTTTGCTGATACATTGTCCATTTGGACTAGAACTGCCTGGTTCTGTACTAGGTGTGAGAAGCTGAGGAGAACTAGCTTGACTGCTCTCAACTCTAGCCAGTTTATGCTGTGGTCCTTTACTTCCTTTAACCATTTTCCCCTGTGCCATGAGGGACCCTATGTGGGTGCCCAGCCCCAAAGGCTGCCAACAATTGTAATCTGAATTTGCTGTGGCTGAAGGGTCTGCCAGTTGAGGAAGTCCACCACTAGGGAGATGTCTGTATCTGGGGTGGTACCATTATGCTTGGGCTTTGGAGTGCAAGCTATCTTTGAAAGGGGTGCAATAAGCACTGTAATGGTAGTCTATGAAAATGTGCCTAGGGATCGCAGTCCATGATGGTTACCATGGAGCCCAACAATTCGCTAGAAGCATTAGAGGGGGAACACTTGTGGGTTGTCATCACCTGCTGTACCTGTTGGGCTATTTTCTCTCTTCTGTCTGTGGAGGGGAATATCTTGCCTGTATGGCTGTCAATTATCAATCCCAGATGTTGAATGAGTTGAGAAGGAATAGGCTGACTCTTTTTAAAGTTCACCAGGAAATCATGTCTTGGTCAGCTGAACATCCCTGATTCCCTGTTCCATAGAGGGCTCCCTTATTAAAATATTATGTAGCTTGCACAGTTGTTTCCTGCCTCTTAGAATGAGCATGGGGCTATCTCTTCAAGCTCCTCCCCCTTCCCTGCTGCATGGCCAAGATGGCGCCTGCTGGAAGAGAGGCATGTTTGATCCTTAAGCCTCACCTTTGAAGCTTCCAAGAGGAATCCCCAAGCAGACGTACCTCATGGTGCCCTCTCAGGGAACTGGAATTGCATGGGTAGGGGTCAGGAGTTCTTTGCTGGGAACAGTGTGGCTCTGGGCCCACTGGCGGGAATCTGTAATTGTCCCAGTAATGGCAAGACTGGCTTCCCTCACCACGATGCTTCCATTCCAGTTACGAAATTCTGGGTGTCTATAACTGGGGTGCATGCATGTGTAGATCACACCTTGATTAGTTTCGCTAGAGTTTGATAATCCCCTGACAACCCTATGCTATCATCCATATCTGACATCTCAAGAGAAAGGTTTAATGGACAGAGAGAAATCCCAGTAGAAAGGAATTCATTCTTAAGGCAGTATAAAAAAAGGAGTGAGCAGGAGACAGAGAAATTAGCATCCTATCAAGGCAAAGACAGAAATGTGGGACTGCCCCTCCAACTAGAGGCGGAACCTCGATAGACGATTGGGCTTTAGATCCTGTCTACTGAGGTGGATGGGAGGAGCAAGCTGTTGCGAGGATGCCCTTCTACCACCGTACGAAACACTGTATTCTGGAGAACAGGAGGATACCAACTACTGGAGACAAGAGTGTCAGAGACGCACCAGAAACAGATGGGTGGTACAGGAACCCATCAGTGGTTAGGGAAAGAGAACAAAGCAGCTGGCAGAAATGATCCATGGCTTCAGGTGCCTCTATACTAAAGCTCACAGCAGATAAAGAAGTCTTTACATAGGAAGGCAAATAGGATTTACCCAACATTACTAAAACCTGGTGGGATAACACTCATGATTTTAATGCAGTGACTGAAGAGTACAACTTATTAGGAAAGAACAATAGCACTGTATGGAAAGACTGTGTATCTGTGAGGAGATCCACCAGTTACAGTTGTGGAAAATGAAGGGCACTGGGATTTTTAAAAGTCAAAGATGATGGAAGAGAACAGTAACATCACTGTGGGGTGTGCTATAGATCTCCAATACAGCCTGAACACTTGAATGATTCCCTTCTAAATCAGACTACCTAACTTCAAAGAAGAAAGATGCAATAGCTATGAGAGACTTCAATTGCCATCATCATTCTGGAGAGAAGTGATAAGCAGGATGTTACAGAATTCTGTCCTGCTTCCTGTATTATTCAACATTAGAGATGTCCCAGGCATGTTGTTGCACCCACACAGGTGTTGTGTGGGCATCGTGCCCACCTCTCCTACACACTTCCTCGGGCGACATGCGCTTCCCTCCTTGTGCCCCCCCCCATGTGAGTGGCCATTCACCTTTTGCAGCCTGGTCTTCCGTCTTTCTCCTTCTCCCTCAGCTGGCCACACAAAGACAACCTCATCTGAGAGGTTGGTTGAAGGAGAAGACGGAAGAGCAAGTTGCAAAAGGTAACATATTCCACACTCCCTATTTTTTTTTCCAATTTTTCTGAAAAAAAAAATGGCTTTGGAAAAAAGTAGAAAAAACTCATTCCCCCCCAATTTTTCTGGGTTTTTTCCAGGCCTTCCCATCCCTAATCAAGAATGTGATGTAATGGTATAAAAAGCAAATGCAATGCTATGTCACTTCAACTGAATTATGTATCCAGATCAAGGGAAGTAACAGTATCACCTTGTTCCTAAATGTTATAGCCCTTGCTTGAAATATTGTTCTGGGCACCACAAGAGAAATATTAAAAGCTGGAATGTCTTCAGAGAAGACTGACCAAGGTGGTAAATGGTCTAGGAAAAAAAAACTTATGAGAAGCAATTAAGGAAGCTGGCAAGTTTACGTTGCAGAATGAAAGACTGAAAGGTGATATATACTTTCACTAAGAGGTGAACGATCTGAATGGCTGCTCTATGGGTGATGGAGCCAGACATTCTATGGCCCCAGAGCAAGGCTGCCTCTAAGGAGTGGTCCTGTGTGCGCGATTCTGCCCCCCTCTGCGCAGGGCTCTTCCTCCTCCATGCACAGACAGTGATAGTTTTCAGCCCCTTTGGTTTTTGTTGCAATGAAACCCTTGTGCGCGGGGGCCAAGTCATGCGCGCAAGGGGCAGAGCCCCACCCAGGAGGGCTAAAAATTAGCGGGAATGTTGTCTCAGAGGATTGTGAAACCACCTGAACTAAAGGATTCAAATCTCAAGAAAGGAGATTTCATCTAAACATTAGGAACAATGTCTTGACAGTAAGAGCTGTTCATTAACAGAATAGACCATCTCAAAAGGTATTACAGGACTGGGAGGATTTCAGAGACTAGATATCTGTTTGTAGGGAGGCTTCAGCTGTTTATTTCCTCCTTTCGGCTTTATAATACTATCATGCTAGGAACCCCAGTGTCCCAAGCAAGGTTGAGACCCAGGAAATCAGCCCATCAACCCGGACGCTTCACTGACCTCTGCATGCTGAGCCATAGTGCTGGCTTCAACAGCATAGACCTTTCTGGCTCCAGCCTGGGCAGCAAAAAATGACAGGATACCAGAGCCGCAGCCAACATCTAATACAATCTGGAAGAAAAGGATTGACAAAAAGAGGCAAAAGCGGAGTCAAATTCATCACTGTATAAAATGAATTAATCTTACCTCATTTAATAATCAGCAATAAATTATGTAAGCCATCTTTTACTGGCAACCACAAAATTTCAGAGTGGAATTCCTTCCATCCTTGAAAGCTGGATTTTCTAGACCCAGGATTCTTACATAAGTACATGTTTACATGCTGCTTTTCAGAACAAAATGCCTGCTCAAGGCAGTTACAAAATTAAAACAAAAAATTACAGTAATAAAGCGTCAGAACAAAATATCCAATGGCTGAAACCCTGCAGATTATTTCAGCATACAGTGGCACCTCGCAAGACCATGGCCTCGCAAAACAATGAATTTAAATTAAAACAAAAAATTACAGTAATAAAGTGTCAGAACAAAATATCCAATGGCTGAAACTCTGTGGATTATTTCAGCATACAGTGGTACCTCGCAAGACGATGGCCTCGCAAAACAATGAATTCATATGACGACGAGGTTTTGCGACCGCCATTGCGCTTTGCAAAACAGTGTTTCCTATGGGGGAATTTCGCTATACAAGTAGGACAGCGCGCCCAATTCCCCTCCTCCTCTTGGCTTCCCTCCCCTTCCACACCAAGCGACACTTACCGGAGATGTAGGGGAGGCTGTGAGGGGGCGGCTGGGGAGTGGGGGGTATCGCAAGCGGCTTCGCAGACTAAAGGAGTTTCCCGGCACCATGAGGCAAGCCCAGGATTTCCCCTTGCCTCCTTACACGAGCGGGACAGCGCGCACTGGTTCCCCTCCGCCCCTTTTGCTTCCCTAACCGCCCACAGCAAGCAAGTCTAGGATTTCTTGGCTGCTTCTCATCACCCGAGTGGGAAGCGCACGCCGCCTCCCCGCCTCCTCTTGGCTTCCCTCCCCTCCCACACCAAGCAGCGCTTACCGGAGGTGCGTCTGGGGAGTGGCTTCAGGGGCAACCTGGGCTACTTGGGAAGCTAGTGACAGCGAGGTTTTTCCCGGGCTGATAGCGGAAGGAATTCCCTCCCTGGGCGCTTTTAGCCTTAGTTTTTGCCCTTTCGGCAGGGCGGAGGAAGCCCCTGGGGATTTCCCCATCTCTGTGCAGAAGGACGTTCCTTTCACCGTCAGGCAGGGCAGGGGTTACTGGGACAGGGATTTCCCCATCTCTGCGCAGAAGGACATTCCTTTCACCGTCAGGGCAGGGGTTACTGGGACGTGGAGAGAGAGGTCCCCTTTGTTTTTGCCAGCCACATGCGCACGCAGGAGCTCCCTTCCAGCACTGAGCAGGGGTTTCCCGGCCTGGGGCTTGGGAGGGGGAGGTTCCCTCGTTGCTAGACGGTCCGTGTCTAGCAACTCCTTTTGTTTTTGCCAGCCATGTGGGCAACCAGGAGCTCTCTTCCAGTGCTGAGCAAGGGTTCCCCTGCCTGGGGGACGAGAGAGGGAGGTCACCTTTTTTTTTCCGGTTCCCTTTCACTGCAGCACGGGAGTCCCCCGAGGGTTCCCCTGCCTGGGGGACGAGAGAGGTTTTGCCGGCTCCCTTTCACCGCAGCACGGGAGTCCCCCGGACGGAGTTGAGAGGGGAGGTCCCTTGGGCATTAACTGGGGCCAGGTGGGCACGGAGGAACTCCCTTCCACCAGGGGCTATCAGCAACATGAGGCTTGCGGGGACAGCCAGCCATTGTTCAGTTTAATTCAACAGCTGATTGGCAGCTCCGCAAAATGGCTTTCCTAGGGTGTTTTCGGCACCGATGCTTCAGAAGACAGCATTTTAAAATGGCTTCCCTATGGGCGATCTTCACATAACGACGACTATTTTCCCCATTGGAACGCATTAAACGGGTTTCAATGCATTTCAATGGGGAAACTCTTTTCACAAGACGATGATTTCGCTAAACAGCGAATGATGCTATTAGCAAGGGCAACTTTCTGGAAAGTAAGCATCCTACTTCTGTCCTAAGGATCCCATGACTCCTGTGTAATCTCTTTCATTATCACAAACTGCTGCTGCTAGGATGATTTTACTGAGAGCAGTGATTTTCTGCAATTAAAGACTATGGCCTTTTTCAAACCAATCCATCTGTAAGGTGGTCCCAGAGGATAGTTTTGCATCATTCCCTTGTGCCTTCTTGCCCTAATTGTTCCCCAAGTGATTTCCCATGGATTACCCTAAGCCTGGAAGGTGGTTTCACCACCTTCTGCAAAGCCACCAACACCAACAGAATCACCAATAGATGTAGAAGAAGAGAGGATAGCAGAACAGAGAGGACAGTCTTGCCCAGAAAGTCCCACCAACAAGGTGCAAAGAAAAGAGTCTGAAGAATCTAGAAAGGAGGAGAGAGATCCTGAAGTTATAAAAGAAGGAGAAGGAGGGAAGGGAGAGGACTGATGGCAGTAGGTAAGGTAGGTAGGTAAGTAGGCAGGCAGGCAGGAAGGAAGGAAGGAGAGGAGATCTAGTGGAAGCACTGGAGTGGCCCAAGCTGAGCTACAGAAGACCATAGCTACAAGTTTCAACCCAACTAAAGCGGAGGAGGAGTCAGCAGATACCCTCAGAACCCGGCCAGTGATTCCCACTCAAACCGAGTTGTAATGTTGGAAGAGTTTGCAAAATGTAAACAGCCTGCAGCAGCCAGAAACTAAGATACGGATCATCCAATGCATGGCCTTTCGCAACGGATGATAAAAGCAGAAACAGTTTTAAGCCCCCAGGTACTTGTATGAGGAGAGTGAAGTAACCTTTCTTAATCTTTGGACTTAAAGACTGCCTTCAAGAGGATTTGTACAGCTAGAGTAGTTTATAGTTATTTTGTTGATTACATTATGTCTGGACCATTAGACCCCTTTGGTGCCCCACTCCCTATGGAGGACTTGGGGGGACACACAGACCATCTCATGTTCAGTCTTTCATCATTTTTGCCACCAGAAATAGTTTAGGTTTAATTTGCTCTAAAAGTCACTTCTTTGTCCCTGTGGCAGTGCAGGGTATCTGCAAAGCTCTCATCCAGTACCATATTTCAAATAAATCAATTATTTCCTGTCAACTTTCTTTATTGTTCAGCTTTCACAACCATTATATAGTGATAAGAAATATAATAGAATGGATGGTCTCAGTCTTGGTCTTGAGTGACACATCCTTACAACTGATGATATTTTCTAATTCACTGCTGCCCTTCCAAATGTCAGTCTTGTCTTGCTTTTTTGGCTATGAATTTGCATTAATGACTGAACCAAGGTATAGAAAATCTTCAACAATTCCATTTTATTTCTGTTTAATTAACCAACACTGCCACCATCCTTAACCTTGGTTTAAATTTCTCTACCCTTTCATGGATCTTATGGAAAAGATCTCATTTCTGCTGTAATTTTATCTTCTTTGCTGTCATTGTTTCTATATACACCAATCACTGAAAAGTTGACTCTATTTCTATCACAGCAAAAACTTCCAATCTATCACTAACAATTTTAAGAGTTTCATCTGCTATCCATCAAGACTTTTTTTTTCTTTTGATGAGAGGAATAGTCTTTATACCTCTGGTTTTGATCCATAATTCTTCTGCTTCATGGTTTAGAAGTAAAGTTTAGTAATGCAGATCTTTATATGGAATTCTTTAGAAATATCATCCAAATCATATTTTGACATTATGATAGTTTCAGTGTTTTTCAGTTGTACTCCAATTTTTGATCTTACTCAAATTTCAAGCCCCTTCATGGATTGCTGCCTTGTCGTGGTGAAGGGGCTTGAGTAACTCAGAGAAGCTATGGGCTATTCCGTGCAGGGACACCCAAGATGGACAGGTCATAGTGGAGAGTTTTGATCCACCTATCATCTTCCATATATTCCAAATAAAATTCTTTATGAGAACAGTACAACTGTGGCTTCAATATCAAATTTAAACTCATATATTTAAGGAGAAAATTCATTATAACAATTTACATCTACAGCACATTAGGAATCTACCTGCATTCATTTGCATCACAAATACAGCACACAGTGACAACAAGTAATTAGACAATCATTCCCTTACCTTATCTTTAAAGTCACTATGGTTCTGCAGGATTGCTCTCTGGTATGTTCCTGTTCTGACATAATCCTGCATCATATTTTGCTGCTGAGACAAGTATCCATAAAACTGAAAAGTAAAACAGTCTTTGCTAAAGTCCCTGTAGTCAAAACTGTGACCTGTTGGCTTTCAGCATACCCCCACCCCGACAATTCCTTCTCATGTTTAACACGGAGCACACAATAGATCTGTCTGAAATGCTGACAAAATCCTACCCATCTCTCCAATTTTAACCCTCCTTTAGTATTTGAAAAAAGGGAATGAGGGATTGCGAAGAGTGAGTTCTATGCTGCCTTTCTCCCATAAAGGGACCCAAGGTAGCTCAAACAATATTATATTGCGATATACTGTACTGTTTCTGTGGAAGGAAGACGCAAACAAAAAGCAGGCACTCCTAATTTGCAGAATTAACCTATTTAAAAATTAAAACATTTTTTTTAAAAAATTCAAACGACAATTAATATACACTGGACATTGACCCCACTCCCCTCTCAGCTGTTCATCTACGCACCTGGAAGTACTGCACAGCAGAGGATTCTTCCGTGCGCTCACTGAACACTGACTGTTCCACGTTGTGGCCTCGGCAGTTTTTCAATATATTATAAAATGAGCAGAAGTCTGAAAGTGAAGCCAAGCGGTGCCCCTTTAGCATTCAAATGTTTTAATTCAGAGCTAACCCAACCAAGAATGTGGAGAACGTCTGACTAGCAAGCAACTCCCTTTGGGGTTGAAAGGGAAACTGGGCTTGGAGAGAGAGAGAGAGAGAAAGGACATAATCCATTTACATGGAAGGCTATGTATATTTTAATGTTGTGGGCAGGAGAAAGAGCATCCTCTTTCTATCACACCTTACAATCTACGATAGCTGTCAACACAGCACTAAGTCCTCATGGCTGTATTATGTGCCATGAGGACTCACTTGGTCAGGCCCAATGAACATGACTCAACAGGATCCCAATAAGCCACAGTCAAGGCACTGGTGGTGCATGTCAAAATGTGGCCTTCCTAAGTACAGCCATGAATTCAGGAAGATTCTTTGCTTCCACGTAAACAAAGCAGAGTGCCGAATACCAACCTAAAGTTTTTTGAGTTTGTAGATGTTGGCATTTAGTACCAATGGCATCTTTGATCAAAAGCGCAGTACCCAACTCATGACAGCTCTTTCAGCATATACATAATATGTTGCACCTCCCACTGAACGTCTGGAGCTCTCTTTGTTTCTGCTCATAAATATGGTAAAGTTTGGTTCCCAGCTTCTTGGTACAAAGGAGCCCCTTTGCAATCATGTCAGTTTTTCAATGCCAGTGATGGCCTTAGCTCTTCACTAAGAGACACAAAGTAACCTTCCGTTCCCATGGTGGTCCACTTGTGTTAAAATCATTCTATGCCCATATTATCATCTTCTGAGTAAAGTACGTAAATACAGAATCTGAAAACAGGAGCAGAATTTGAACCATACAACTATTAGTTTTGACTTTAGAATTCTCTAATCCTCTATATTGCAGAGATGTTAAGATCTTCAGTCAATTTCCTGGCAAAGCTAGTTTCCTGATCTACTGCCCAACTATGTGCCACCTATGTCCCAATAGGAGGGAATGGGACATTAAGATGATCAAGTTAGAATTTTCCCAACAATATAGCTGCTTACTGATGTCCTCCAATTCATGCTAGGGTTGGTAAAGTAGGTGGAACAATTAAAACAAAACTTTCATAAAATATTCTTTGGTTTTATACTGTTCAAGTACCATCGGTATATCTTCAGTGAGATTTTTCTACAGATATGTTTCCTCAGTTTCTTCATGAAAAGTTCTAAGGCCAAAAATGTAAGCTTACTGAATATCACATTTCTGACGCTTATCATTTTCAACTCCCCATCCTATTCCCATATTTTACAAGTTGGCATGACCGTCTTCAGCTCTACATGGGATTTATTTGTTATTACTTTTAAAATATATGCACTATAAAATGTATATCTTCTTAAATCACGGCAAAACAAAACATGAATAAAACCGTCCTTGTTTACTTAGAAATAAGCTGTACTGTGTTCAGTGGGGCTGACTTTCAGATAAGTATGTTTTAATCTGCAGTTAAACTTATACATTGTATATTTAATGTTCTTAAAATAAAAAAAATGAAATTTAGGTGAAACTAATCAATGTTATATAATTTCAAAATTTTGCCCATACATTTGAGGAGAATAATGACACCCTCATGGCCCCGTACAACTTTTTCAGATAGCTTACGCCTTCAGCAAATTCAAGGACCAATATCTCCTGAATCCTGTTTAGCACATCCCATGACAGGTAACACAGGGCTGAAAATTAACTTACCAAAAGACTTCAGCCAAATCTGACACAGCTTTAAGAGCTGCAGTGGCAGTTTCAACAGTACAATTGTTCCAATGGTACATGATGGTAGTACAGATTCTCTTTGATACCTGCCAGAATGCTTTAAACATGAGATGTCCTATCCTGGGACCAGCTAGTTGAGTAGATAACTGAACTAGAAAGCTCCCCATATTAGCAAGCCATGCAAAATCTTTTTATTTGCTCAAGCAATAAAATTATTTCTTTGCATCCTGAGTAAACATCTGTGAGTAAATCTTCCAGTACTTACCACTTGGTGTTGCAAACTGTATAAGGACACTATTACATCCCAGGGTGATAATGAAGGATTGCTTGCCCACTCGGCTGCATTCTGTCTCCTTTGATACAGAACATTTAAACACACAAACATCATCTTCTATGGAGAAAAAAAAAAGAAAGGAAAGGAGGAAGATGTCAGTGATTCAATCACACACTCAACATTTTGGTTTTGTTGTAAGATAAATATTTTATACCCCATGTAGTTCATGGCAGTATGATAGAAATGTGGGTGCAATGTTTAAAACACCCTATCATTCTCTGTTTCAAACTGTCTTTCTCTCTATCCCATTAGTTTTTTACTCATAAGTTCTATAGAAATCAAAAGAGTGCTCAAAAGTTCCTGAGAGAAGATAATCAATATTTACATGCAAGAAATATTATACGGTCATAATTACTAGCTATTAATATCACAAAGGCCTTACTGGATTAGGACGGGGTGCATTTAGCCCAGCATCCTGTTTTTCAGTGAAACATTTCAGACCACAAGCAGTACTTGAAGCCAACAGTACTCTCCTACAGTATTAATGACCTATGCAGAATAAAGTCTCAGTATACGTACATGGCAATTTCAATAATGTTTAGAAGGCTGAATAAATCTTCCTAATACAGTTAAATCTATGCTTCACACTTCCCTGCATTCTCTAAGTTTGCTCTTTTCTTGAACTGAAAGAAAATAGTTCTGAAACTATATGCCAAGGCACACCAAGATACCACGAAAGAACTTGTGTTATGAAAAAAGAAAGAAAAGCTAGGAGCCTAGAACAGTCATCCACAGGAACCGCCATTTGTATGCCTGAAGTCTTGCCTCCTCCTAATCAGCCACCACATAACAAAGAGGAGCACATTTTAATGTATGTCTTTAGCACTCCCTGAATGGAGAGGGTCCATTTATTCATAACAGTTGTGAAAGGCATAATCTATTTATATCTTCAATTAACTTTACAACCGAAGTCAGCAAGCACAAGTTGCTTACTTGTAACTATAGCTCTTCAGGCGATCATGTGTGAACTCATGCCTGCAGGTCTTGCTGAGCCTGTGCAGAATACTCCAGAATGTTCTCTAGATGAGCATTTTGATGGGAGCCCTGCCCACCAAACTTTATATGTCTGTGTCATTTTCCCTCTTCTTACCTCAGTTCCTGGTCTACCACGTCAGGGCAGAAAGCCAAAGAAACCGAGACATCCCAAAGAGAAGAGGAGGGTGGGCTGGGCGAGTTCACAGAGGACTCCTCAAAGAACTCCAGTGACATGTAACTAACCTGTCTTCCTTGGTTGTAGTCTCGGTGACTCAAGCTCACATGTAAGGATGGTGGATGGATATCTCAGTACAGTGGATAAGTACCATCCCAGGAACCAAGCTGCCCAGGAGACCCCCTTTACTGTGGGGAAGCCATTGCAGGCCACAAGATGGCTGCAGTCTTTAACCTCTGAAAAGCACTACCACTGGGATAACTTTAGCAGCAGTGATTTCATCTGGAAATTAAAGACTCTCCCCCGTCCCAGAGGCCCCAATGGCTGAACTGTTGGACAGCTCAGTGGTTTAGGTATTTGGCTGCAGAACCAGATGTTAGGAGTTCAGTTCCTCACAGTGCCTCCCTGACAGGGGATGGAGACTCGATGATCCATCGAGTCCCTTCCAAATCTGCAGTTCTAAGATAACAAAAAGAATTCTATGGGAAAAAATATATTTAAAAAATAAAAAGTAAAAACTTCAGCATTCAGAAAAAGGCTTATTTTGACGGCAAGCAACTTGACAATAGTGGTTTGTTAATGGGGTAGGCAGTTAAAATCACAGTAAAACAATAAGCTTAATTGGAGAGTTGACAATGGCTGCAGAACCAGATGTTAGGAGTTCAGTTCCTCACAGTGCCTCCCTGACAGGGGATGGAGACTCGATGATCCATCGAGTCCCTTCCAAATCTGCAGTTCTAAGATAACAAAAAGAATTCTATGGGAGCCTTGGGAGCAGAGGACTGGAATTTTTTTTTATTTCTGAAAAATAGTCACAGCTGATTATATCATTAGCCTTACAGAGCAAAATTTATGGAAGGATTTCAACTTTGTCTATCATGGTATGGCTCTACTCACAAAATAAATCCAGTTCTTAATTGGAGAGTTGACATATAGACAGGATTAGCTAGAGAATCTGGCAAGCAAGAAGTTAATCAGGCAAACAGTCAGAAACAATTTGGCCCCAGTGCAAAATTTTGGCCAATGAGGCTCTTCCACTAGTACTTGCTCCCTGACCATACTAACTATAATCATAGTTCTGCTACTCAGAAATCTGCTATAACTCCATTCATATCAAGGCAAGGCCCAATTTCAGCTTCAATCTAATTTGCAGTCCACTCCACTCCTCTTTTGGAAACCATGCACTATACTGCAACCTGTGACAACTGAATGCCAATGAGATGCCTTTTCGGCAACTGAAGACTTTGTGTATCTAACCCTCATGACGACAGTAGAAGGATAGTTCCTCTAGCCTTCTAAACAGCATACAGTGCATCCTGTCACAGATAAGGCACAATTACAATCAAGGTTCCCCTCTAAGGTGTGTGCCAGCGCACACATGTACTTGCCTTCACCTCCCTCCGCGCAGCAGGAACCCTACAAGACAGACAGAACTGCTATGAACTTACAGAAAAATATTAAGGTTTCACCATACGAAAGCTGTAAGCACCCATGCTGGAACAAGATCACCAATACAATGACTTTTCCATTACACCTGATCAATTTTATCAGAGCACTTTTACAGACACCTATAAATATATGTAGTTTTTTATCCACCTCACTGTTCATCCTACTAATGTTACCACTTCGAACTAAAAGGTTTGAAAAAAATACACTTGAAAAGACAGTTTGAAGCACCAGTTATAACCACAGTAACTGAAGAGTAGTTGCAGCAGCGATCTGATTTATTTCCAGCCTATCTATTATGTTCCTCATCTTCCCTGGAAGCAAAATTGTTCACGCATGTACAGCATGGCCCCCTTATCTGTAGAATCAGTATCTGATGAGTCACTTATCCACCGTCTGCAAATATTAATTTAAATAATTAAAAGTATTTTTTAAAATGCAGGGGGGGGGAATCATATGTTTTACCAGAACTGGTCACTAGAGGGAGTTGGTGAGACTGTCTTATGAAGAGTACATACAGTAGCATGATCTCTGCCTGCTAAAGGCCTCTCTCTCTTGCAAGCTTTCTCCCTGGAGAAGGTGGTGGAGGCTCGTCCTACTTGCTGGTTTACCCAGAGGTGTTAAAAGAAAAAAGAAAAAAGAAGAAAAAAAGGGGGGTCAGTGAAGGGTAATCTAGGCCTGAAGCAGGATGGGGGCATCTCCAGTCAGCTTGCTTTACATTGAGACCTAAGAGCACAAACAGCTCAGCATGCAGGTAAATAGCCTCCAGGGTCTGCCTTCCGTTCAGGTAAATGGACTGAAGGGAGGGCTGGGGGGGGGCTTTGTTTCTATATATTCTGGATAACTGTCGAGGGAAGGGAGGGCACCTGGTTTGGAGAAGGAGATGTTTGTTATAATCGCGTTTTCCAGCATCAAACCCCTACAGATACGAGGGTCCTATTGTAATCATGTGATGATCAGGAAAGTGTAAGCTGCTCTGTAGACATCAGAAAGAACAAATCATTGGGATAGATGGATTACAAACTATTTCACGATACAGAGACTGAGAAGCTACAGAGATTGATCAAAGGGACTTCTCTGAGTCCCTGAGGAACAGGGCTTGAAGTTCTGATCCCATCCTTCTACAATTCTAACTAAGGTTAGTCTATTACTGTTTTCTGTCTCCATTGAAATCATTTTCATTAATGTATTTCTTTGAAGATAACATATAATAAAAGCTAAACAACACCTCTATCAAGTTTTTTCTGGACCCATTTAAGGGGTGCAGTTAATCACTAAAATATATTTGAACACTTAAAAGAGTGATTTACAAATAGAAACATTTAAGCAAAATGTTTTAGCTTTTGCCTTCATCAGTTGCTTTGGTAAAATTGTATCCTATATATATACTGAGTAGGTCCCTTATCAGGAGAAAGGCAGCCTATAAAACAAACAAACAAACCAAAGATGTCCCAAAATGACAATAATGCCTTTTCTGTAATCTGGACTAGAAAAGACTCAGCCCACTTCTTTCCCAGAGTTCTGTAGATTTGGACGATGGAGATGGCATCAAGTGAGGAAGCTGCTGTTTGTTCTGACATAGCATGAAAGGGACTCAAGATCTGTGGGCAACAGGTGCTTAATGGCTCATTTTACAAAACACATCAGAAAATAATAAAACTAATATATCCTACCCTAGGGATTAGGAAAACTAGTTAGGGGGCTGGCATGTCTCTGAAGAGAATGGTCCCTTGTTCCCTTGCTGCCCAAACAAACTCTGCCTGACTCACGAGAAGACATACGTTTGCTTGCTGTCCTGTGGAACTGTGCTGGAGGATACACTCTGTGTATGCCCCCAGAACCACCTCCCTGTTAAGTTATGAGTCTTAGGGCAGATTAGCTTTGTTATTTTCTGATGTATCTTCTGCCTAAAAACACATCAGGTCAATTTGCTCCTTAATTTTGAAAGTCTGTTCCTTTTAACCATTGGAACTTTTACTTTTTCATCCTGTTGATTTTTTTTCTTTTTTCATAAACTACAGCAATATTTTCATGCAGTTGTCTGGATTTTGACGGAGAGGGCCGATGATACCAAAACCAGTCAAGCTACTGGGATTTTTCATAGTGTTTCTGCACCTGAGAATGGTGGCATCTATTTTGCAAGTTTGGTGCACCCATTCTCAGTGCCTAGTCTTGGAAATTTCTTTTTTTGTGTTCAACCCTCAAGAGCACCTCAAAGTTTGGAAGACCAAACAGGTGTTGGGAGTCAGTTAGTTCCTGTCAAACTTCCACAGTCTTTGCCACATCTGACTCGCACTTGGCATTCCCACTTCAGGATAAGCAAGACAAGTGTGGCTGAGGGAATATAGAGAGAGAAGCTTATGGCCTACCCCAGGGGTCCCCAACGCCGGACCACGACCTGGCACCGGTCTGTGGCCTAGGCAGGACCAGGACGTGGACACAGATTTCCTGCCCCCATGTG